ACGAGATTCAAGCCTTATTGGAAGCACATCCCTGCAAAACTGATATTTGCTGGATTGCTTTTGGGTACGTAAGAACGAACTTACCCTTCACTCACCATAAGGCTTCCGTTACTCTCCAGAGTTAGAAATTTCCACTGGAAAGCCCTTACTCTGCACCTGTAGCTGAAATCAGGGAATGAAACTGGACTCCATTTCCTTCCTTTGGCCTCTTGTGGCTCTTGCTCTGGTTTATTCCAGCACCGGGACAGTGATGATGAACACCATGTGACCCTGCCCTCAGGAATTTCAAGGAGGTCATGGGGACAGATTCGAAACCATAATTGCAAAACAATGGAAAAATGTTTGGAAGGAGCTGTGCAAAGGGGATGATGGGGACACAGAAGAGGGGCACATAGCACAGTCTTCTTGAAGCATATACGTACTTTTTTTCTGCCTCTCAATGCACAATTGACAGCAAACTGGGGATATCTTAACATTTTGACTTTATGTAAAGGAAATGTATTAGTCCCCTACTGTATCAATTATGTAAGTCAGCAATGGTGTAACTTATATTTAGCTTAAAATAAGAGTCACTAGTAATCTAAAATGCTAAATACCATTGCCATTTAAATTACAAGGTGGTTAGATCAATCAGAAGGTTAGTATTTAAGTTGTTTTTCATTATTTGAACGTTACTGAACATAATTTTATATGATAGGGTTGAAAATAGTTTTAAGTGTTACTATGTACCAAATTGCATGGCCCCATAAAGGGAGCAAAATGCAAATACACTGACTTACTTAGGGGTTATCAGTGGCCTGACAGGACTGTTTTCTACTGAGATCCAGGCGCCTAGCCTCTAGATGAGGACGTATATTACTTACTCACTTTTAGAATCAAGCCCAGTTAGGAAGGACCCTGTACTTAGACTGTGATGTGAATGGTGCTCCTTGGACCTTTTAAGGATTCTCTGTCCAGTGGCCCATTTCTCAGGGGGTCCCTGGTTACTTGGAAATCCCTTCCCCACATATAACCCTCTTTCATTGCCAACTGCCTTGAAATCTCTTTTCCTCAATTATTGATCTCTAAGTAACATGTAAAATGATTACTAATTGTTTTCAAGAAATGTGATAGTTAGCCTAGGGAAGAGGTGTAAAAATGTTTGGGAAAATGTGCATCTTAGAATTCATGAAATGCAAAATTATTATTTCTCTCTACAAACACTGGAGTTATAGAAAGCTGACCTAACTCACCGCCAAATATCTACCATTTCCAAGGCAACAAGACACACTGCTGAAAGACAAGCGCATTGGGCTGGGCCCTGGCCCTGCCTCTGTCATTAAGGAGTCACATAATTCTTCTGGGCCTCAGTTTTGTCATCTGTAGTCTGGAGGGATTGGGCTCCAGTACCTTTCAGATTTAAAATTCTATAATACTCAGAAATAAATTCTTTCCAGTCCTAAAAATCTCTCTTTAACACTCCACTGAACTATCCATATGGTTGAATTTTAACTTTGATATTTCACATATAGAGTTACATTTTTCATGGGGAGAACATAATGTCACTAAAGGGGTCAGAGGCCTGTGCATACCTCCCTCACATTTTGATATAGAAGTGTCTTTAAAACATGACACAGCTCACACTTATTTTTTCCTACATGCACTCCTCTGTAGCTATTTTTAAATTGAGCCAGCAAATTCAGATTATTAAACACACAAAATTGTTGAAAAGTCACCTCTTATCTCCAAATTCAAAGTGCTCTCAAATATATCAAGTTAAGCTCCATGGAACAGTTTATGAGAAAATTAAACAGTTGCTCTAATCGTAAGAAATTCCTGAAGAAATGCAGGACCAACAGAATGAGGAATTTTCTAACTGTACCCAGTCCCACCCTCGCAGATACTGCAGAATAATTCTTTCCTTTTCAGGCCTTGAGTCCTCTTTCAGGCCTTACAGAGGCAGTGCTGGGTGAATGCCCAATGGGCTTTGGGCATTCACCCAGCACTGGCTCTGTAAGTCCCAATGGACTTTCTTCCCTTGGCCTTCCTCAAGTGCCTTTTCTACAGTTTCCCCTTCCCCCCAGAGCCCAGCTCTTTTCTGCTGACACCGACTTGGCCAAAGTTTCAGGGACCTCTGATCCTGATTGGATGGGAAAAGGTGGCTTTCACAGTCTTCCTAAGGGTACAGGCTCGGGTCTTTTTAGTTCTTCAAAGCGGGGCATTCACAATACAACAAAACTCTTTTCTCACCCCATTTGATGGTATCGCATAGCACAACAGCTACAGCAGAGATCCTGAGGCAGGATGGGGCCTCGTATGTTTGAGGAACAGTGAGATCAGGGTGAATGGAGTGAATGGAGCAGAGTGAGCAAGGAAGAAGAGGAGGTGCAAGACATTCTAGGGGACTCACTTGTGTCAGTGCATCCTAAGGCCTGTGGTATGGACTTTGGCTTTTACTTGGAGTGAAATGAGTGGCCACTGCAGGGTTGTGAACGACTTAATGTTGTAATGGACCCCTCTAACTGCTGTGGAGCAGGGACTCAGGGAGATAAGGGTAGAGGTAGAGACTAGTTAGGAGGCCGCTGCAATAGCCCAGGTGAGTGATAGTGGTGAACTAAGGTGCATAGCACTGGAGCTGGTGAGACACCAGACAAATTCTTGATGTATTTTGAAGGTTGAACCAACAGGATCTCTTGATGAGTTGAATATGGAGTATAAAAAGAATAGAAGGGGCAAAGATTATACTGTCTCGTATTTGGGGTATTTAATGGATTACTCTAATTTCCCCACCAATATACAGAGAAACTTACATAGGAAAAAAAGTTTTTCTTTCTTGGTATTTTTCAGAATGGTAATGTGAGTAGAAAGAGTCCTGAATCGAGCCGGTTCTAAATCCCCATCCATAGTATAAGAACATGTTTCATCTGCATATAATGCTGTGCTTTCCTCACTTCCAACATGTATGGATTCCATTTTTAAATGCGTTTTTTATAGATCAGATTTTATGGCTCAATTCTCAGCATGTGCCATTTCAAGATCAGGCCTCACTAAAGTCTCATAATAATGACTGATTATTAGTTCTGGTCATTAACATTTAGTACTGTTTTAACTGCCTTACCACTAATAACAACTTAGATATTAATATTTTATTTCATATGTAAACTACCTGAAATTCCATGGTTTCAATGTAATTAAAAACATTTTTTCCCATAATTAAAACCTGATGTCATGCAGTAAAATGTAAAAATAAAATTGTAATTTGAATAAGTTGATGTTTTTGTACCTTCATGGAAAACAAAATAGGCAAACAACCCCAAAGCTACTCCTTTCTTCCATCTTGTCACTTCTTATTTGTTGCTTGACCCAGAGCCATCTGGGGTCCCCTTTCCCCATTCTGTTCACACAGGTCTCTCCTGAGACACAGATTCCCTCCTAGTCATCAGATTCATTTTGACTATTATTCCTGTTGGTCTTTCCGTATTCTCTAAGAAGTGTCTGTTGTTTACTAAGTGAACATTTGGTTTGGTTTTATGACCTCAGTAATATGATTTTTACACTGCTTGAAAAACAAGCATTGTGTAAATAAATAACGAAGTGCTGGTAACATTGTAAACACATTCCTTCCCGCTAACAAAAAGACAATAATGGAATACTATATTAATAAAGTGATTTCAGTCCCAAAGAAGACGTTTTAAAGCATTTCCTTAGAGTCTGGTACTACAGTTAGGGCTACATGACTTTGTGGGGTGGAGGAATAAGGAAAGTACCTATACAACTGATTTCACATGATATAAAGTCTTCTCAGAGGTACTATGTACACACAAGTGTTATAGGCTAAACAGGTAGTTTTGGGGGAACTTACCTAGGAGCAGCATATATTGGAAGAGGGCGGTACAGGCATTCTAAGAATTAGTTTATTTAAAAAAAAAATCCTTAAAAACATTTTTGTTTTGTTTTCAATTTTATTAAGATATAATTGACATACAGCACTGTATAAGTTTAAGGTGTACAGCATAATGACTTGACTTACACATATTGTGAAATGATGTCCCAAACTTTTTGTTGATTTCTTTTTATTCCCTCAGGTTATGTACCTTTTGTTTCCCACTTTATTAAACAGCTCTTAGAAAGTTCTCGGCCCTATGGATATACCAGTGTTCTTCCTGTCACTATGCTCAAAACCCCAAGCCAATCTTTTCATCTTTTTGTGTTTGTCACTTATGACCTCCTGTCAAGTCTGTTCATTCCATCTCTTTGATCCATCACACTCCTCTGTGTTCTTCCTGCTGTGACTCCCAGTTCAGAGCCACAGAGGAACATTCTCTTTGATCATCCATTCATTCGTCTGGTATTTCTCCTGTAGCCTCTACCACATACTGGGGACACAAAGATGAATGGATTCCTTGCCTCAAGGATTCAGTCTAGTGGGGACATAGGCTTATGAACAGATCATGGCAGTACTTTATTCCTAAAGCTATTTTGAAAAAAGTCACTGTATTATCTTAAGATTATGTGTTCTTCTTACTCCCAGCTGTGTTAGAAAAATAAGTTAAATAGTAGCTATGTTTTGCCTTCTTCTGGTTAATTTTATCCATGATAACAGTAAACACTTAAATTTCTCTTGGAAATATACATTTTCTAATCTCTGTGTTAACTTTGCTGGCTAGAGCTTTCATTGGCAAGTGTCTTTTCATTGAGTTAATACATTTCTTTAAGAATAACTCTCTACTCTCAGAGCTGTTCCACTGTTTGTGATTAAAGATCTGTACATTCATATCTGTACTTGTGTATGTATATCTTTCCTGAATTCAGGTTTAATGGTCTGACCATCCCTCTGATGAGTGGCAGCCAACCTATCATTCCCAAGCAATGAATAAATACAATTACTTCTGTGGGTCATTTTCTTCCTACATCTGTATAGGAAAGGGAATTTTCGAAGTAAGGAGAGAGAAGGATGAGGAATGTTTTATGGGCGATCATGACATATGAACTGTGCTACTATTGTTTTGTTTTACTTCTAGTTACAAGAAAACACATGAAACCCTGAGTCACGCAGGACAGAAGGCAACTGCTGCTTTCAGCAATGTTGGGACGGCCATCAGCAAGAAGTTTGGAGACATGAGGTAATGTGGGAAAGAATCGCGGGAATGCTGCTAACCCCGTGGCATTCCAAGATGGCGGGAACATTCATAATCTGTCGGCTGGAGTACCTAACATACTCGTTTTCTTCTTATTAGTATTGGTTTAAAATTTTATGTGGCTGATAGTGATTGATGACTGAGATAAATTTTTATATTGGGATGTTTTCTGCTTGAAGGTCAGCTTAGTGGGCCTGGGCCCAAGATGCCTTTTCCACTAGGACCCAACCTAGTAAAAATAGAAGATAGAGGGTGCCTTTCATCACTAGTGGTGAGGGGGGGATTTCAAAAGAATGCAGCACATACTGAATTTTAGGCATTGTACTTTAAACAATAAGTTAAAATATACATTCTGATGAACTATTCCAGTTACATTTTTGTATATGTCCATCTAGTAAATTTTGTCTATGCTAAATACATACATATTTATTATTTTATTCCACAAAGGTACCATATGGTATATATTTCAGGTAGTTTCCTTTCTTCACTTTAGCAATCTATTGTGAATATGTTAGTAAATGTTTATTATACCTTCATTTTTAATGGCCGTAGTATCTTTCAGTACATAGCTATAGCAAAACTACTAAACAAGTCCCCTTGCACATTTTGGTTATTTTCAGTATTTCACTGTTATATAAAATTAGGGTGAACATCAAGATTTTGAACTGAGAACCAAATGTCTTCACTATGGACACCAGAAAAACAATGTAGTATTGACTTTTTTATACATACAGAGGTGCCAAAAACATGTATACAAATTTTAAGAAAGGAAATAAACTGTATTAAAATGGTAATACTCAATACATACTGCTAACAAAAGATGAATACAAGTCACACTTGACTTCTGCAATTACAAGAGGTGCTCAAAGTGGTTACCATCAGTGTCCAGACACTTCTGATTATGGCGGACTACTGCTTGAACATAGATAGCATCTCTTAAAATGTGTGTACATTTTTTTGGCACCCCCGGTATATATTGTGTTCTAGTTATCTTATATAGAGTTATTACTTTCATAATATTTGCTTGTTTAAATACCTATAATAGTTTACTTTGAATTTAGCTGACATGCTTAGATTTTTTTCTTTGTAAAACAATTTCATCAATTTTCTCTCTAGAAATCAAATTCATCTTTTAAAAAACTTTTAAAGTACATTTTAAACTTCTTTTAAAAAGATCTGTGAGTATTAGTTCACTGGATTCTTAACTATTTATTTATTTTTATTATTACCTGTAGCTCTGATACAAGAGGTAAAAATTTGTACCTTGGTGTTTAAGTTATTTTAGGGCTTCAAAAATTGCTGGATTGTACCCAATATCATGCACATTTTAACTTGGCACTCAAGAGGCTAAAGTTAAGTAAGTACATGTGCATAAATCTGAACACATTGTTTTATCTTCATTTTCACTAATACTGCAGTAAGGAAAAACCATTAAAATTCTTCAGAGGCAGCATATGATGATGTGAAGAACAGGTAAACATTCTGGGTTATTAATTAACCTTAATTTTATTACAAATAAAATTTAATTCTAGCTACAAGAAGGCATGCAGGGCAGAAGGCAACTGCTGCTGTTTATTACAAGTAAAATTTGCAGTCATTTCGATGGCATTAAAACATTTATCTAAACTAATTAAATAAGTCCTTAAAAAAGAAAGGCCCTATTACCTGTTATAGCCAAGAAATATATTGTCATGTTTACAAAATTCGCTCTTCACATTACTTGGTTGAAACCTTTCACTTGAACACTGAGACTTCAGCATAATACTAGGATAGTGCTTCTCCATCTTTGGGGGACTTAGAAACAGTTCTGAAGCTTGTTTAAAATATGTATTTCTAGATTGCACCTCTCTGAGATTGTGCCTCAGTAGGTCCTGGGTGGAACCTGCGATTGTAACAAGCTCCCAGGTGATTTGACTTAAGGTGGTGAGGTAATGAGAAGGCCAGATGGAACCTAAGTTGCCTTCACCTGGATGATCTCAGTTATGAAATGGGGATAAGAGTAACAACATCATCGAATAGTTATAAGAGTAGCCAAAGAGAGCCTGTCATGTATTCAACACTCAATAAATGCTAATAGTTTTTATCTTGACTAAATGACCAGCTCAGTTACAAGGTGGCTCCATACGACAGAAATTAGGGAAAGTTCATTAACAGGAGTGTAGTGTGTTTCATAAAGGCTGTGCTCATTTTTCTAAGTAGTAAAGCATGAAGACTGCATTTCATATATGCAGTATCTTATATACTCATGTTCACACACTAGTTGGGTACAATATAAAGATTGTGTTGACTGTCTTTCCTCCTGTATCTGTGTGGCTTTGTTTTAGGGTAATATAGTAGATAATCCGTTTCCCAGGAGTTCCAAAGTTTTCATTAATTGTTCTATACAGGGGATACAACATTTTCATTGTGAACTGTGGCCGAACATATTGGGCAACGTAGCTTATATTACTGGAGACTCAGATATGATATGATATGGTCCTATGATATTTTGTAGACCTATATTTTCAGAGCTCTATTTTTGTCTACAGTAGCTAACATTTTATATAAATGAAGATAAGTCCCTGTGAAAGCAACAAGTTTTGCAAAGAATTTTCAGTTTTAAATTATGCTAGAATATATAAGTAATATTTGAGAATTGCTTAGGTTTACTCTAATAAAGATTCTTAAATGGGAAAAATAAAGTTTTCACTTTTTGTTCAAATTAATTTGCCAATTTATAAAATGATGGTGGGGATATTTGAAAATTTTATTGCAGACATTTTGCTTTGAATCCCTTTTTGCTTTAAGAGTATATTATTCTATATCTTTATTAATTACATGATAATATTCATTTGTGCGTTCTGAGAACAAATTTCTGAACTTGTTCATGAAGATTGCCACCAACATTCAGATACCTGGGAAGGACAACAGTACTTCTGGTTTTTCCTTAAAATAATTCCAAGTTTTAAGGGCTGGCCGAGTGGCTCAGTTGGTTAAGAGCTCGCTCAAGAGCACAAGCTCTGAGCAACAGGGTCACCGGTTCGATTCGTGGCCTGAGCTGAGCTGCTGCTGAGCTGCCAACAGGCAGGATGGCTCAGCTTAAAAAAAAAAAAAATCCAAGTTAATATGTACAGATTTTGAAAACTTAGAATTTGGGCCTTTTAAATAACTGAATGAAAATCCCTATGTTAGAAATTAATTTATATGTTTTGTAAAAATAGTAATTTCCCAAGGTAAGCTTCTCGTTTCTAATCTGATTTCCATTAAGTGTTAACCCAGTCATGTTAGCTCAGTTAGCTCGCTTTCCTTCTCCATCCATAAAACAACATGGTTAATAGCTACCTAACTAAAATGTTTCCTGTGAAATTAAAATGAGGTCACATTTATGGAAGTACTCTGAACAAAGGCAAGCCATTGGAATAATGTTTATAATGTTGGCATCTTCTTGGAACTTCTCAGTGAATTTGTTCAAACTGTGTGTGATGTAGTGGAGATGAAATCTTTGGAGGAGACATTATTTTATTAGCGAGTCTATCTATATATTCATGAGAATATTTAGAAACACAGCTTATAACAGGTTGGTAAAGTAATTGTTAAGACACATTAAAAAGTCAGAATACTCAAAAAGGGTAATGAATGGAGTTACCTAAGCTTTGCTTTGGGGACAGTGGCAGTGTGGTCATGTCTTTGCGTCCTGATATGCTAACCCTGCTCCCTCTTCTCTCCTGTGCTGCCCTGGCTGCAGGTCTCACTCCATCGGGTAAGCGTTGCCTGTGGGGCCCTGCCAGCTCCCTTGTCGTCCCTTTATTCCCAGAACCCCGCTGTTTCCTTCACCCTGGGGGTGTGCCTGAGCCAAAAACCTAGATCTCTTTTCCTGAAAGTATTCCTGACCACGGAGTCATAGAGTATAGGGTACCTAATGAATTTGAATTTATTTAAGCACTTATTTATCTCATTTCTGAATTATTTACATCAGTTTCACTTGCTGAGCAATCTCTTAGGAATCTTTTTCTGTGTCATTCCTTTCTGTATTGGCAGAGGTCCTTAGAACTGAAAAAAGACAAAAAGGAAAGCGGGTATTGAGAGCTGTGTGTTTTTTATAAAACTTATAGAAAGTAAAGGTTGAGAAACAGAAATGATTTTCTCTAGGTGGTTGTGTTTTTCTGAACTTCTTGTAATTGGTAACTGTTACTTATGTGTGTGGTTCACCTTCAACTTTCCGTATCTTCTCAAGTTGAAGAGTAAAAAAAATTACTGGAGAAGCACACGTGATTTTTTTTTTTTTTAACCTGGAATCTTATTATATACTTTGGGAGGAAGATTAGTTTTTCTAAGAAAACTGCCTACATTTAACGAAATTAATAGACTAATAATGCTGACAAATTTCTTTTAGTAATTGTTTTTTAATGTAACTTCTGAGGAAATATTTTGCCTATAGTTTCCAAATGGAGTGTCTAAGGTAGGACCACAAGTATCCCCTGAATTTCTTTGTCCTTTTCTGCCTGAGTTCTAGTAAATGCTGCCCATACTGTTGACCTCTGGATATTGTTGGGGAGGGTGGTGAGTTGGAGCCCTTACCATTTAGCTGCTTGAGAGGAGAGAAAGGAGGGATGGCGTTGGAAGGTGCGATGGGGGAGCACTCGCCCAGGAAAATGGAGCCTGTGTTGCCCTCTCCCTCCACCCAGTCTAATATTCGAGCGGAACTCACATTGAAATAACAGGCAATCGATCAGAGAGAAAATGAGTCAGCTACTCTTGGATTGATAGGGTGAGAAGGCTGAAGGTCTTAGAGTTCTCAGAAATGTTGGTATTTGTAACTGATGTTGTAGAATGGATGCAAAAGTGCCTGCTCTCATGTCAGACTCTGTGAATTGTGTTTGCGTAGCATGTTTTCTTCATTCGTCTTGTGTTAACTAAGTATATTCCTCTGGAGAGAGTTTCTCTACAATGGAACCATTAGCTTTTACGTGCTTGGTCTACTTCCCGGAGACTGCCCTTCCTGTCTCCCTGACCAGGAGCAGGGAGTGGAGAGGGAGCTGGACCTAGAGTGGATGCCCAGGGGCTGCTGGGCTGATCTGGGAGAAACCAGACACTCTCCTCAGATTTCCTGGCCTACAGGAAACCTACAGGAAGTAAAATAATATGCAGCTATGGACCACCTGCTCTTCCTTTCAACCCTTGGTAGGGACTGTAGCCCATGCTATGCAATGAAAACAAAGATCTTCTTGGTGGGATGGGCAGGAAATACTTCAGACAGTTGAAATTGCCATTTTAGAACTATGAATAGGGAGCGTCTCTTGTACTTAATATTGTGCTATCTCTTTTTTCTTTCTTTTTTTTCCCTTTAATCTGCTTTGCCCTGAAGCTACTCCATTCGCCATTCCATAAGTATGCCTGCTATGAGGTAATGTGTGTAAATTACTTTACATAAATAATAGTAATGTAGAATGTGGATGAAGTGTTACTTTATTGATATTTACTTTGTGGGTTTTTCTCCCCCTTTGAAAGGAAGTGCCTTGACCTACCTCATTCTCCTTTCTGACGGCCCTCAGGAGCAAGAGCTAACAATTCTGTGAAATGTTGTAGGCTTGACCGGACACACCAGCTTAAATCCAGCCTCTCCTGATTTGTGACCTGAGACAAGTTATTTAATCCACCTCTATCTTCATTCTTTTATCTGTATCCTGGGGGATAATAAGACCCTACCTCATATGTTATTGTGAGCTGTAAACAAACTGTGGAAAGCACTTAGTACAGGGCCTAGAACATTCTAAGCACACTTGTAAAGGTGGAAATGTTTATTTCCTCAGAATTAAATGCAAACCTGGAAGAAAGATTAATGAAAGGATAGGGGATTATGAGGGCTACAGTTCTAGAAAGGATATCATTAAGATTTTTTAAGGTATATATTAAGATGAGGTGTCTGTTGAGCAGTAAAAATGTCATTAAAATTTCTGTCGGGATGAAAACTGAGAAAGATGTTCTCTGCTTCCAGTTTGCTTAACTTTGCAATCCAGTCAAATAAAATCAAGCTAATAGTCATGGAGTACAGAGGTATGAATGTTAGATTGGGAATCAGAAGATGCAGGTTGTAGCCGAACTTTGCCAAGAATGAATTTTGCAGACTTGGAAAACTCACCTCAGTGATATCAGTTTCATCATGTTTACAGTACAAGGCTAGAACCAGGTTTACTGCTCTTCCCATGGTGACTTCGTCTGACACGGTGCTGGTGGTGGGAAGGGAGGGCGGAGTCAAGCCTCTGAGACCCTCCCCCACTTCAGTTAGAACTGTGCCTCTTCTACCTGCTTTATGTCCTGTACTGTGGTATGAATCCATTATAGAGGGGGTTCAGTTACTCTAAACAGTTTGAGAGCACTGAAGCCAAGGTCTTTCTGGGGTCATTTGCAGTGCTAAAACTTTGTAGTTGTATATGATATGATTAAATCTGAGTAAGCCATTTCTCTTTGTTCTCCAGCATGTATTCTGCTGTAATTTAATTTGAAGAATGACTATTTTATTATGTCTGATGTCTTTTCTACACTGGGGTTATTTGGTTATCTTGGAAATTTAACCACAGTATTTGATTTCCCTAATTTGGAGGTAAATAGGGAGCATAGAGTCAAGATTGCTTAGTTCATATTTGAATGACTTTCTCCCCCTAGCATAAGAATACCCAAATTGAGTAGTGCAACCTGAGGGTCTGAGCTCCTTTACTTGTCAAATTTTAATTCTGGGTGTTCAAAGAAGGCATGCAAAAAATTAACATGATTTTGTTCTGTGAATCAGGAATCCATCTAGTGGCTTAAGGGTCAAATGCAGTCCTCACGAGCTTGCCTGAAATAAACGTTTAGTATATGTACAGCCAAAGCGAGCACTGAAATGAACTTTTAAAAAAGTAATTTTACTCATCTAACATATACCCATGAACCATTAGGCTAAACTGTCTGCCTACTGAGATACTGCGTAACTGATATATGACAGCAGTCATGTAAGCAGACTTGGCTAAGTAGAACCTCGGTGGAAGTCATGTGCCAATCAGTGTATACTTCTGAGTTATTCAAGTGCAATTTCACTATTATTGCATCACGAAACAGAGGGATTATGGAGGCTTACTCATAAGAATTTGACTGACGTTTGAATCAAATACAAGATGTGAGGCCACGCTCAGGCTCTCTGATCTCTCACCATTGTTAGTTCATACAGCCTGAATGCAAGTGCATTTCTGACCATCTGGAGCATCAGGGTCTTGTGAGACAATCCTTAACAAAGCCAAATTCATATTCTCTATATTAGCTTCCTCTTGATAGTATTAGAGCCATGTCTTATCCCACACCATAAAATGAAGCCCGTATTTTATAGCCATTCTCCCTTATGAAGTTTCTCTAGGCCAGCGGTTCTCAACCTTCCTAATGCCGCGACCCCTTAATACAGTTCCTCATGTTGTGGTGACCCCCAACCATAAAATTATTTTCGTTGCTACTCTATAACTGTAATTTTGCTACTGTTATGAATTGTAATGTAAATACCTTTTTGTTTTCTGATGGTCTTAGGCGACCCCTGTGAAAGGGTCATTCGACCCCCAAAGGGGTCGCAACCCACAGGTTGAGAACCGTCTAGGCCATTCCTCTTATTTCTTCTGCACTCAAGAGAGAATAACAAGTGGCTTATCAAATATAATAACATTCAGTTAAATGATTTGATTGGAAAATGATGACAGTCATTGTTGGTGAGAGCTAACACGGATACAAGATTTAAGACACATTTTTAGTTCAGTTCTTGTTTCTTCAGTTGGACTTGGTGATATCATTTTTAATGATAATGTTGTCATTAAATCTTGTCATGTGGCCTAATCCAGAATAGGAAACCAAAAAGCACCAAATGAAGAAGTTAACCCTTATAATAACAAAATGGTATAGAGATCATTTAACATGATGATGAGTCACAAAGAAAATGCCAACAGATGGTGAAGGTTCTCTCTGGTAAGAGGACAAATAGGTATATCCTTTTCAGGAGGAAAACTACCACATGCTAATAACACCATTTGATTAAGCATGTGATACGTGTTATTGCAACTTATAATAATGAAAGCAATGACTTTCAGAAACGCCACTTTATGGAAGTTGACCAAGTGATTACTTTTGAAGGCATTGAAAAGATAAAACTTATAACCCTTCTTTACCTTGAGCAATTTCTGACTTGTCTCACATTCACTGAAATAAATAACTTGAACATTCCAAGTGGTTCAAGTCAAATGTGACATTCCTCATATAGACTTTCCATAATTACAAAAAAACTGAGTTTGGAAAAAGAGTGTTGTGATAGAAACAATTAGTAAATGAAAATTTAGCTATTACTCCTTTGATTCACTGAAAATGATTTCCGGTCCACCATGGAATTATTACAGTAGTGTCATTGTCAAATACTGTAGTATTTATTCTACAGTTGGGTATCTGACTCTTTTATTTAGGAAAGTCCATGTCAGGCTATGGTTTCTGGATCTAACAGAAGTGAAATAATATGTTAACACACGCTTGGTGTAGGTGGTAAACTAACAGCTGGCTGTGGTACGGAGGTGATGTTATCAAGAACAGAAACCAGGTAGCGTGCATGCTAAGACAGCTAGGTCATTAGAGCTGACCTCTCTTTTTTTTGTTATTTTAGGAATTCTCCTACTTTCAAATCATTTGAGGAGAGGGTTGAGACAACTGTCACAAGCCTTAAGGTACAGATGAAGTGATTTTTGTGTCATTGAGTCCATTGAATCAGGGCAGTGTAGACAATGCTGCAGTTAGTTACAAAGGCGGGGCCGCCAGGCTTTGGTGCCGCCAAGTAGGCAGTCTTGCACAGTCAGTCCTTTCCTTCACATATAACAATATAACTAAAACCAGTATGGAATGGTGTTACTGTATCCTTACAAAGTTGTTCATATAAACCATTCGGAATGAATTGTTCATTACAGTAAATTGGGGTTTGGTTCATCTCTTTGCTAGTTAGAGCTCTTACTGCTATTCCCCAAAAAGAGTAGATATGTGAGAGAGGATGTGTATCGGACAAGGATCTGTGAATTCTGAATTTAGGGTGTAAATGAAGGCTCAGTAACAGCTCAAGCTCCTTCGGTTTGGACATGGACTAGAAAAAACAAACTTGGCTCCAGGTGTTAAACTGCCATCCACTACCTGTCAACTACCTAGGCTTGTTTACTCTGTTCACACAGCATAGTTTTGTTATCATGCAGCAACAATAAAGCTGAGTCACAAAATGCATTATTTTTTAATAGTGCATTTGATCCCTGAGTATAAACTAAAAATAAGATTGTTGCATAGTAGGCACTAAAAAATTCATTGAATTTATTGTTTGCACATAGGTAAGTTAGTCTATGGAGGAAAAAAGAGCAAAACTAAAATCCATCTAGTCTTAAAATGGATAGAACTTTTAAACCAGGGACAATCATTGAAACTATTAAGATATTTTTTAAAAAAATACCACCTAAACAGTGACATCATTACATCTTGATAATCATTACCACTATTTTGAATACAATCCATTTCTCTATTACTGGGAAAATAAAGGATATGTATGACCTTTAATGAGATCCAAAAGCACATGCTGATTATCCAGTTGCTTCTCAGTGCTCTGTCACCACACTACTCACACGTGCTGCCTGAGAAGGGTTTGTGAGGGTGGAAGTTATTCCTTATGAGAGGTCTGAGATGCTCTGATTTTGAACTGATTTTGACCCGGAAGCTCTTTCCTCTTAGGGAAGGGTCTTTAAAATAATCTACTACTTTATGAGGCCCATGATAACGTGTTTAAGGCTCAAGAATGAAATTATTATTCAGCGTTTATCATACCTTCACTGGTTTCATTTACCAGCAATTTCTGGCCATGCAGTGTCACTAGTCTGCTTGTCAACATCATCACTTATTGAGTGACCAGTAGGAGCCATTAAATTGCCCCCATTTATAGGGAAAACATTGGCTAGGGAGGGACATGCAATATCTTAGACATTTCTCTTGCTAGAATATCTAGTTTCAAAACAAAAGGCTCAGGAAATATTCTAGGAGTCAATGTCTCCACATTTGGTTCTCAGCCCTAGACATTTCAAAGAGAATGGATTCTGTTGCTTGTTAGACGTCTAAGTTCTGACATAGGAAAAGTTGTACTTTTTAGGTTTTCTTTAGAAGAAGGAGCTATGAAGAAGCAAACGAAGAATAAAGAGCAACCTATTTTCATTTACTTTTAGGAAACTGGTAAGCTCACAGCTCACATATGATTTTATGATTTAAGTGTTTGACCCACGCTCTCAGCCTCTTCCTTTATTGCCCTATTGGGATGGAAGGTATAGAACCTGCCTCCTCCTTCAGACACACGCAAAACTAACTCAGCCGCTAACTGGATACTAGCCTGTGTCAAGACCTCCTGAAAGTGGATTCGTGTCTGCATGATTGTCCATGGGTTTAACAAGACTCACATGCCACCTATTTCCTGTGTCACGGTCAATGCCTAGTTCCTCATTTTCTGCCCACCCAGGCAGGCAATGGAGAATAGATAATAATCAGGTTTTGTGTAAAACTTCCCACTTCCTCAATAATTACAAATTTCTCATTCTTTTTTTTCTCCAGACTAAATAATGATGTTTAACCCTTCTCTATATAGCTTATTTGCTGCATAGTTTACTTCTGTGTCCTAAATCTTTTACAAAATTTCTGTGACTTTCTTCAGTTGTGAATCCTGAGGCTGTTTCTTGCTGAGGGAATGACTCATGATGAGTATGGATGAGTGAAATTCCTTGCAGGCCTATACGCTGCATCTTCATTCACACGTACTGCTTTAAGCTTAATTTTTAAACTACCCCTAAAAGGGAATTATGTTCATATTTGTGTTCTATTAGAAATAATCTTCTGCTGAGAACTGAGGATCATTCTTGCCATCTTTTTACAGTCTGTCACACACTGTGTGTCACTTATACCCAGTTGATTGCTCTTCCTTTGTACCCAATTCTGTAGACTGATTTTCCATGAAAAACTTCCCAGTTCATCATAATCATATAAAATTCAGTTCCTTCTGCCTACATCCTTGTAGTAAGTATATCAGTGTATTACTTGATTACATCTTAGCTGGTGTCAACTGTATACTCAGTGAGCACACTTTCTATTCCATCTAAAACAGACAGAGAGCAGACCCACAGTCAGTTCTTATGGAATCATATTTGGTATATTCTGCCATATTCCAGGGAAGGATGAGTAAGTAACTACATACCTTTCAACCATCCTGTATCCATGTCAAGCAGACCATATTTTTAGTGCACCTAGTTTATTATTATTATTGTTGTTGTTATTTCAGGTGTACAGAACAATGCAATAGTTATCCTTTTCACCTCTAACAAAGTGACAACCCCCCTCCCCCCATCTACTGCCCTCCCACCCCCGATATCTTACTTATCTATTACAATTCCATTGACTACATTCCCACACTCTACTCCACATCGCGCACCTATATGTATGTATAATTATAGTTAAATACAATATTATTCAACACCAGCCTCAGATATACAGTGCGGTGGTCAGGCATCTACACCGTCTATGAAGTGGTCTCCCTAACAAGACATAAGTCCATCTGGCCCCCTAAAAAATATTTACAACATTATTGATTATATTCCCCAGATTGTCTTTTCTATCCCTGAGGCCATATTGTATTTACCAATTTGTATTTTCTCGCCCCTCCCCCTTCTCCTTCATCCCCACCCACTCCCAACTAGCAACCCTGTTTTTCCTCTGTGTCTCTGAGACTATTTCTGTTTACATTTCTCATTTATTCAATTCTTTAGAGTTCACATATAAGTGAGATCACATGTATTTGTCTTTCTCTGACTGACTTATTTCACTTAGCATAATGTTCTCTAGGGCACCTACTTTTTGATGAATACATTGCATTTCACATGGCCTGAATTAAAAACTTGACTTAAAAAGGCAAAATATATTCTACTTGTTTCTTTGTGTCTTTTCAACCAGTTATTAAATGAGAGATTAGGAAGCCCAATTCAGTAATTCAAATACACTTTTTTGTGAAGAACAATTTTAATATTGAGGAGAAAGTGACAAATTCTTGGATGAATATCCCATTATTCAGGGAAGGGTCCGGGAGAGGTTTTAGCAGGTCCTTGTCTAAGGTATTGCAGTGTGAAGTCACTAAGCCCACATGGTTAGGAAACCCCTTATTCCATTTCCCTTTTGCCCAATTGCTGTATTTCAAAGCAGTTCCCTCCTTTATTTTTCTATTTTGATGTGAGAAAAATCAAGAACTAGAAGAATGAAACAAAGCCCAGAAGGAAACATGGGTAATTGGTATTCATCTGATTCAATACTGTGTGTGACTTCTGCAAAACAGAATA